TCTGTTTGATACTTTGGATTGGTAGTAGTTAAGGAGAGGTGTCAAATTAACATTCCAATTCACCAGAAGCTGGGTGGCTATCTAAGACTAAAGTGGATTCTGAATGAACTGTATTTTATATGAAGTGTCTGGCTAGGAATTGCTATTGAAATATACAAAAAAAGCCCAGTCATAAATGCAATAGCCTATTCTAATTTGCATAAAAATAACTGACAGTAAGGGCTAGAGAGAATGTGTACACAAAATACAGTAATGTATACAAGAGTCCATTTTGTCTTTTGTCTTTGTATACATACTGGAAATCATGCTAGTTATTCTGAATAAGCTCACAAATTACAGGATATGCAAAAAACATATTCTGTTTCAGTGTGAAAAAAATAGAGTGGGAAGAGAATTTTGTAGATTATTATCTCAGGCCAATTGGATAATATATCTTGCATATTCATTGTTAAATTAAGAACATAGAAAAAATATATCAAACAAGGAAAAAGTAATGGGACACATGATTACATATGATTGTGTAGATATTCCATAAATATCTAGATAATTCATTATGTTACAGGAAAGACATTGAAAATTCATCTGGAATTTCCAAGATTTAGAAATATTTAAGGATAAACATGAGCACTTCAGACTTGATCTATTAGTATTTCATCATTTTTTAAATTTCTTGAAAAACCATTTCAAGAAATTGAAGAAAAATTGTTTTTAAAAACAGAGGAGACATGTTCAACATAGTGCTGAAAGAAAATCAATTGCCAAAGAAACCTTGAGTTCCTACAACTGATACTTTCTGATTATAACTCAATCCCACTAAAATAACATATACCTGTGATTGAGCTTGTGAAAATTCTTGAAGAATGGGCTTAGAGAAATAAGGATTGTTATAACAACTTGACATGGGAAGAAAAAGTGTCATATGGAAAAAATGACAGGATACAGATGGAACCAACTGGGAATGAAATCAGAAGAAATAGTGGAAGAAAAATATTTATCAAAAGAAAAACAGAAATCGTTTTTCCTGTGTTTAAGGTCAATGGAAATATGTCAGTGCAACAATGAAGTGAATTGCCTTAAAGAGGTCCAGTGCCCTCAAGAGATAGGCAAAAGTAGTAAGAAAAAAAAACAGAAGAAACAATGAAAGTAAATTTATTATTCATTTACTGGTGTTATTCCTTTATTAGAAATAATCTATAGTACTTTATTCTAGACAGCTTTAAAGTGGTTTAAAAACTGCAGAGCAATTCTAAAATACAATAAGAAGAGATTGAAAATGGTGAACATAATAAAAGCAGGATGCAGTCCATCCATTCCAACAGTAGCATGAGGAGAATTAATGGCTGGAGAGAGTCAATAAAATAAAAATAACAAAATTGAGGGTTGATACCAGGAACGTCATCTCAAAGTAGAAGTGCCATTATGAAGAAGGCCCATCTCTGAGTCCCCACCAAATGGGGATCTTCCCCCAGGATAATAAATGCCTCTGTGGCCAATGTCATTGAAGACACAGTTTGAGGTAATCCTGAATGGTTTAGAGCTAGAAACATAAAATATCAATACTGTGATTATGGCTTAATAGGAGACTATACTAACTCTCAGTTCATGAGGTTATACAAGAAGATACTGTGATTAATAGAATCAAAAGCTGGTGAAAGGTCGAGTAATAGAAAGTGTTCCATATGTTTTTAAAGCCAGTAGGTTAATAAAGATAATATTTTGTATAAGAAGATCAGAATCCAATCTGCAGTAAATCTAAATAATCAATATCTTCCCAGAACACATATTAGAGTGCTATGATTCTTTCCGTCATTTTGATCAGAAAGGAGCATTTGTCATTTGGCAATAGTTATTACAATCTTCTAGATCCATGATGGCGAACCTATGGCACGTGTGCCGGAAGTAGCACATAGAACTGGCATGCGAGCCCTCGCCCAGAGCAGGTCTACTGCACATACGCGCATGCCACCTGCCCGCCAACTGATTGTCAGGTATCTGGCATGCATGTACGGGAGGTGGAGGGGGAGACGCACAAGCATGCACAGAGTTGCATGACACGTGGAGGGGGGTCGTGCATGCATGCAAAGGGGGCTTGGGAGGGACCTGCACACATTGCCTTCTGGATGCTGGCACACATGCAATTATCTGCACAGGAGACCAAAAGGTTAGCCACCACTGTTCTAGATCCAGAGCAGAGGTAGTATTCAGCAGGTTTTGACCAGTTCTGGAGAACCAGTAGCAGAAATTTTGAGTAGTTCTGAGAACCGGCAAATACCACCTCTGACTGGAGATTTTACAGTATCCTTCCCCTGCCACACCCACCAAGCCACACCCACTGAACCGGTAGTAAAAAAAAATTGAATCCCATCACTCATCCAGAGGTTTTGTTTTATGATCCCCTATACTCACTGCTTCTTTAATAACAGCAGGAAGCATTCTCCCCTATATAATGATGCTTTCACCCTTTACTTCACCCACTACTTCAGGACAATACTCCTTGGCCTATTTGAATTAGCTCACAATTGGAAAGGATTAAGAAGTCAAGCTGATAGGGTAAAAGCTTAAAGTTCTTCTTTATATCTCCCTGAAAGGCTACAACTGATTTTGCACATTGTTATGGGAAGGAAAACAATTTTATCCTTGAATTCTATTGAATTGTCTTGAGCCTGCACAGAAGGAATTATTTATATTATTTTTTTTAAAAAAAAGTTCTACTGGATTGCTATTTCAGGATGGAATGGAGACAACAAAGTAAACATTCTTCACTGCTTTCATTACCAAACAGAAGACATGGTTATGTTTTCTAACACATATACAGTTATCTTCACAAGCCTGTGACACCAGTGCTGGAATTACCTAATCTGCCTCATTAAGTACCTTCTGAGAAACCACTAAAAGTTCATATTTTACAACACCGGAGACCTATGGCACCCCACAGTTCTGCAGTAGGGTTTTAATAGGATCATCAATTCTAGCTGTAGAAAAATCAGCATATCCAGAATACATTGGATTCACAAGCTTTCAAAGGTTATGTAAATAGTCAGGGTAGATGCCACAATATTAAATTTCACCAGGTCACCAGTCGTGATTTATTTAAATTCTAAGTTGTAGTCCACCATCCAAAACAAGTGATGTGAAATATAATTGGTCACTACTGGAGCATCATCCTAAACCAGAACAGGGATGGTAAATTGGTCCATTTGCTGCACTTAGTCATGGTTGCTATTCAAAATATATATTACATAGAAACATATACATAAGGTTTTTTTTAAACGTCTGGTGATACCTCATAAAAAATTTCCAAGAGTAAACAGTTGTATAGCTTAGTGTAACTAAATCTATTTCTCTTATGCCTATCTCCCCCCCCAAAAAAAACCTCCCATCTGTACATTTACCATATTTGGTTCATTAAAAGGAGGTTCATTAAATCTTAGGTCAGTTGATAAAAGAGATGATTTTATGGTATTACAGGTCCATTTAAAATTTCATATTTAATTTGTCCATTCTTTTCCCCCCCTATCTACTATATTTTAAATTTGAAGTTTCTTGGCTCTGTATTCTGCAAGGGCTTTTGGATTCAATATTGTCATAATCAATAAATATAAAATCAGCTGTTCACCAACATCAAAAGAGAGAAATTAGTCTAGTAGTCTACTTGCTTAAAACACATATAATAAAAGATATCAGCCACGCTTACTCCTGAGAGAGAATTCCTAATGAACACATACACTCCAATGCACAAATCCATCTTTAGACACCTCTTATCCCTAGTTGCTTTCTGCACAACCAATTGACCAATATGACTTCCCTGATACTGCACACACTTACCTTCAGTTGCAGATTCCTATAGTGGGTAAAAAAGAGAATGCAGCCAAGTAAGACTGCTCTGTCCAACTTAACAGTGAACTGTGATTTAAAAAAGAAGTTGGAATGCTCCTCCTACCCTTCAAATCCTTATGCCCATCTCAAATCATTATTTTACTCAGAACATCTGAACAATAACTGGTTACTAAAACCGGTTGGATAGATGTTCCCAGGTGATAATCTCAAACAGAATCTTATTAGCTAAATAAACTTTTTAAAATGTCCTAAAATAATCCTTGTTGACCTGTATTATGAACTGTAAATCATTTAGAACACAAAAAGATCTGGTATAACTTCTGCTTTACTGGAAATGTTAAATGATTGCTACACTTCAACTGGTAATTTATTTGGGTAAACTAATCATGAAATGTCAATCAATACAGCAGGATAGACAGGATGTGCTTAGTACATAGGCCAGTGACTATTTGAAGATTCTTGCTGAAAATATATATAGTAGTTTTAAGAAGCTGATGAAGTGGAAAAACAGAATTTGGAAAGAACAGTTACATACAAATCATTGTTTTCGACTCTGCCATCTAATAATGAAAAACCCAGGAGCAAACTACTTTTAAGTGGTTTGCAAAAGTTTAAAGGTTATCAATTTCTAAATTTCTGATATGATTTTAACAGAAACTGGCAGACATTGCAACAGGGACACAAATTAAACCAGAATGAGTCTCATTATATAGATAATTATGATGTAAAATATTTGGAAGATTTTGTTGTGTCCCTGACTAGCTAAGTCTTCAACCTGGTCCGCATTTTGAGCGGGACCATCTGACTGTTCCCATTGGTTGGTGCCGTTTGACAGCAGACTATATAAGGAGCTGTCAAACGGCATCAACTGGGCTTTTGGGGCTCCGGCTCCAGCCAGCCAGCCGGCTGCCAGCCCAGCTGGGCAGCCACGTTAATCTGTTACTACTTCAAATAAAGAAACATTATTCTTCAGCTCCTGTGTCTGCCTGGTGTGTCCGTCCGACCAATACAACAGATTTGTTTTCTTGAATGAAGCCACACAAGAAATGATTCAAGTAAAATTGCTTCCAGGAACCAATTTCAGGTATCCAGGTTTCATTCATCCCACTCACACTAGTTACTATTACTAAATTTGCAGATGATACAACAGTGGTGGGACTCATCTCCAGGTGGGATGAGTCTGACTACCAAGATGAGGTGGATCAGTTGCTTTCGTGGTGTGGAAACAATAACTCGGTCCACAACACTAATAAGACCAAGGAGCTTATAGTGGACTATAGAAGGAACAGATCAGACATCCAGCCCTTGCTTATCAATGGAGACCGAGTGGAGCAGAGATTATACTACCTGAGGCTTCTCAGAAAACAACAACTGAATGAGAAACTGCTGGTGACCTTCTACCGCTGCACCATAGAGAGCATTTTAACATACTGCACCTCTGTATGGTTTGCCAATTGCATAGTGGCAGATAGGAAAGCACTCCAGAGGGTTAATGTCATTGTCCAGAAGATCATTGGTTGCCCTCTCCCCTCTTTGGAAGAGCTTTATAGCTCCCACTGCCTTAATAAAGTTCAAAATATTCTCAAAGATCCATCTCATCCTGGGCACCCTTTTTTTGAACTATTACCATCTGGCAGACAGTACAGAATATTAAAAACAAGCACAAATAGGCTGAAAAACAACTTCTACCCCAGGGCAGTAGCTCTTTTGAATTCTATTGTATAGTGCAGTGTTGGTGCGATGTTGTGGGTTTTCGATTCAATGTGTGGAGTATGAAGGATATGTGTTTGTGTTTATTTTCATGATCATGATGTGCACAGAAGAAAGTGTTTGATTTCGTTGTACGAGGTGCAATGACAATAAACTAAACTAAACTAAACTAAACATTAGATGGAGCAGCAGAACAGTATTCAGTATGTGAAATCTTAATTAAATCTTGAGAAGTTTAATGGGATTTACTGTGGTTATTTAGGATTTATTTATTACAAGTTCATATGTGTTGTTTTCAGACATCATTGCAGAAATCAGTCAAGAAAGTCTGACATATGACCTTTTGAAAATAAAAGATGTTGAAAAGATGTGATTTTAAACTAATCTGACACCATCACTTTTAATAGTATGATTTCGCTGAATTCTGGACCTGAAAAATAGGATGGAGACCTAACATTACTCAAGTTGTCCACTCCTGCTTTAATAGGTTGTCTGAACTTTGGTAAAATGTATTTTCCTAAAGAGCCCAAACTTTCTTGTATTTTAGTGGCTAAAACTTGAAAAATTTGCTTTTAACAATTTTAACATTTTTACAATTATTTCAGATTACTAATATATTTTAGCCAGCAAACACATTCATAATCTTATATAATTTTAAAGTTTTATACAGTATTATGTTTGCATGCATTTTTAAGGATAAGAAGTGGAGCTGTTCTTCCTGTGTTCTGTTTTTTCCCCACATATACACACAGATATCTCTAACACACATCTGTCTATATATTCTCTCTCTTGAACTGTTAACATGCTGGTATGTAATTTGGGGGGGGGGGGGACAAGAGAATCTGATAAGAATATTCCTTTCCATTTCTATCAAACTTCAAGTCTGTAGTGAACAATGACGCAGGCAGAGTGATTTCAACACCAGATGGCAGCATACAATCTTACCATAAAGAAAGAGTTAGTGCACTTGTTAATAAACTGCAAGACTGATAACAAGCAGATATTCTAGTTACTTGAGGTAATATTAGCAACAACACATAATTAATATTTGACAGCAACTTCAAACACTTGTGACCCAACATTAAGAAGAGCTAACCAGCTGGAAACATATTTTCACAAACTCCATTCTCTGACTGGGGGGAAAAAAGGTCTGTAATACTAAAACAAAGAAAGCTTCAGAATTGAAGAAGTTTCTTGGATGAAAAGCAAAACATCTTTAAGGAAAAACAAAATCCAGTTGCTTCTAAAAAAGCACCTTTGTGTAAAACAAAGATGCAGAGTTATGTTCTTAAAAGATATTTACTTCACAGATTTCTGTTTGTATGTGTTTGGGATTGCATTGAATGATGGCAAATTAAAATGCATTAATCTGTTACTCTGCAGCAACCACTAGACCAAAGCAGTTTGGTCTAGTAGTTACTGCACTTCCCAGTGGAAACTGGGAGACAGCGAGGTCTAGCGAGGTTTCTTTGCATGAAAAACAGCTGGGTGACTTTCAGCCACTCACTCTCTCTCAGCCCAACCTAACCTCCCAGGATTATTGTGGAGAAAATTAAATAAGCAAACTGCCTGAGGAAATTGCTTAACATATAAGGTTATCTCCCTTCAAGATAAGATATTAGGGTTTGTCTATTATTCAGTTAGCTTACCTTATGGGGGCATCAAAGATTGTAACCTATCAATGATTTCTGAGATTACGTTGTAATCTCGAGTTACAACAGTTTGTTTTGTGACCTTTCAACAGTTTGTTTCGTGACCTTTCAACAGCACTGTAAAAGTGACTTATGACTATTTTTCACACTTATGACCATTGCAGCATCACAATGGCCATGTGATCAAAATTCAGTCATTTGGCAACTGACTCATATTTATCATGGTTGAAGTGTCTTGGGGTTGACCTTGTGCCAAACAAAGTCAACGAGGAAGCCAGATTCACTTAACATTCATATTACTAAATAACTGCAGTGGTTATTTAACATGTGTGTCAAGAACGTTCATAAAATAGGGCAAAACTGACTCATTTAACAACATAAATTTTGGGCTCAATTGTGGTCACAAGTTGAGGAGTACCAGTATTAATACTTCTCTGTACTGGGTTGGAATTCCCTAGTAATTCTCTAGGTGGAATGTCCAATATTAAAAGAGTGTGCTAAGACAGAGATCGTGGACCACTGGTAGTCTGCAAGAAAATGTTGGTGGTCCGCAGCGCACCCGGGTGGAGAAGCTGCTCTGGGATGTCCAAGGAGCCAGTCCTGTGACTAGAGCTCTGGAATATGGGACCAGCCAGGCAGATTATAGTGGGGCTGGAAATCTCTGCCGTAGAGGGAGATATGTGCAACTTGCAACTTTGCAGGTGGTGAATGTGCAAGGAATAGCACAGCCTCTGCTGGCTGGAGTGAAGTAACGGTGCTGATGCAGCAAGGGAGGGTGGCGGTGAAGGCGGGCTGAAGCAACGGGTGTCAGCAACCCATGGCTCTTTCATCCCCTTGCTGTGGCTTCTTGTTAGCTGAACCCACTACTGGCTGACTCTGCCCCTTGCCCTCATCTCACTCACTTCTCACCTGGCCTGAGAAGGGAAGGGTAGAGGATGAAGATTTGTTCCATATTCCAGAGCGGGAGCAAAGCTTCATCTCTTGCTGGGTCTTGCGGGTGTTTGTTCTAGTCCTTGTTGGTGCTATGCACACCTTGGTCACTCAGGAGACACGCAAATTCTTCTCCACCCCAAGACATGGCCCAACCCAGCCATTTCTTTCCTCCACTGCTGTTGGCACCTCCATGGCCTGCCCGCTGCTCTTGCAGCACCTTGTGCAGAGCAGTTAAATTTAGCACAGAGGGGGAGATGGCATCCCCTCCTCCTCCTGGAGCCCATTACAACATGGAGCATCAGCTGCAGCTGGGGCAGGCAAGTGTCTTGGTGCAAAGAGCAGGTCGTGTATCTCCCCGAGTGACCGAGGTGCATCCAGCACCAACAAAGGCTGAAGAAGCACCCACGAGACCCAGAGAGCACCGGAGAATCAGAATGAGAGAGAGAAAGAGAAAGACAGACCAACAGACATACAAAGAGAGGGGAAAGAGATAGGTGAGAGAAAGAGAGTGAGAGAGATGAGAGACAGCATGAGAGTCATGAGAGAGAGACATGAGAGAGGAAAAAAGAGATGAGAGAAATGGAATGATAGATAAAAAGAGATGGGGGGGGAGAGAGAGTTAGATGAGATACAAAGAGAGATGAGAAAGAGATGAGAGAGAGATACAGAAAGATGAGAGAGAGATACAGTGAGTGTATCTCTCAGTGAGTGAGAGATGAGAAAGAGATACAGAGAGAGAGAAATGAGAGAG